TACCAAGCCAGGGATGCCAGACCCTTTGGACAGCGCTGGGGCGAGCCCAGGCTTCAGTCTAGACAGCCTTGTTTGTCTTTCCAGCCCAGTACCCTCAAACACCAACAGGCCTGATGGGGCATCTCCAGTGGGGGCAGACTCCAGGACTTTGTCACAATCTTCATTAAGAGTCTGTTTAAGGGCGTAGCCAACAGGGCCCCACCAACCAGACATTGCTTCTCATCCTGGGACCTCCATATGGTCCTGAAGGCCTTGACTGTCAAACCATTTGAACCACTCCAGGAGGCCTCCCTGAAACACCTCTGCTCGTCGTGTCTCCGAGCTGGGCATGCTGTCAGTGTGTAGTGACTTGTGTATCTTTACACTGGACTCGGCGATTGTCCACCTGGACCCTACTTTCATCCCCAAGGTGAGCTCGGCATTCCATGTGGCCTAGGACATCCTGCTTCCTTCATTCTGCCCACAGCCTGAAAAAGGGCTTGAGAAGATACGGCACATCTTGGACGTGTGCAGGGCAGTCAAGATTTATATTAAGAGGACCTGGGCCTTCAGGTCCTATGAGGGGTTTTTCATCTCCTTCCGCCAGGGGCTCCATGGGGCGGAAGGTGTCAGTTTCCACCCTGAGCAGGTGGATCAGGGCCTGCATTAAGGAATGCTACCTGTACCTTGGCCTGCCCCCCCCATGGGGTGCTGGCGCATTCTACCAGAAGCGTGACCACCTCGGTGGCTTTGGCTACGAGCACTTCCCTGGCAGAGATCTGTAGGGCAGCCACTTGAAAATCCCCATCCACCTTCATAACACATTATAAGCTGGATGTTTTTCAGACCACAGAGGTGCCTTTGGGAGAAGGGTTCTGCAGCAGGTGGAGCTAGATGTCGCAGTCTCTGTTGCAGTGCCTCCCCCACCCCCAGAGCAGGTAGCAAGCAATGAATATTGGATCTGAGAGTGGACTTTTTAGTCAGGGAAGAGGCATCAAGGGGCTCAACCCAAGAGTTTTCTCTGTGCTTTGCAATTGACCTTGTGCTACTACTTCAACACCTCCTTTCTCCTTTTCATAAACAATGAAGACTAGAGTGCTCAGTTGGGGTTTAGCAGAAACAAAACAAAACCCACACAAGCTTTCTTCTGTGAGACAGACTATTTTCACACAACATAAAAAGGGGTCTGTGTCTTGTTACTTGTTGCTATCTTTGCCAAGCATTCATTATGTTTTCTGACCCTTTCGGCTTGTTGGTTTTGGCCACTGTTGTGTTGTTTATGTACAGCATGTTTTGGCCATTAGCAGATTTACATGTAGTTAACTTAATTTTTCTGGAGAAAACATTTTTTATGGCCCTCTCCTCCATGGCCCTGAAAATATATTTGCCAAAACGTATTCTTGATTGGGTTTTCATATGAAGTATGAAGCTTGCCTGTCCTTGGTTTCAAGATGAATAAAAACTAGTGTGCAGAGCACAGATGAGAACCATGTGGCTTTCTAGATGTTACTGGACTGCAGCCCCAAGAAACCTTAACCAGCATAATGTTGATGAATGTTGGAGGTTGCAGTTTATGAACATCTGGAGGGCTACATGACCCCCCCCCCGCAATGTAGAGCCTCCCCAAAGTAAAACATTCTGCAAAATTCTACAATCCTTAAATTAAGTGCTCTCCCCTGCTGAAATCAAGGGGATGTAGCACCCTGAACCTTGGCTGGTTGGGGGATAATTTATTTACATACTGTCTTATGGAACAGTTGTGTGTTTACTTGAAAATGGGTCTCATTCTGTCCCCACTGATCCCAGGTAAGCAGAAGCACCACTTATTGTTGAAGAAGACTTTTGTTAAATGGCAGGATTAGACCTATTGCTTTGATATCCTGTTTCTTGCATTCTGTTGGCATCTGTTTGGCCAACTTTGGATGAAAGATATTGGACTGGACAAGACTCTGCTCTGGGGTATCCCATCTAGTTTTAATTGTACAAAGGATTGCAGCCTTATACTCTAATCCTATATATGCTTACTCAGAAACTAGCATGACTGAGGTCAGTGACTTACTGGTATGCATAGGACTGTTACCTGTAACATTTAAAGGTTCTCAAACATGGGTCTCCAGATGTTGTTGGACCTCATCTCCTAAAATCTTTCACCATTGCCCATGCTACTTGAAGCTTCAAGGAACTGAAGTCCAACAACATCCGGTGGCTCCAAATGTGGAAACCTCAACATTATGTGTTCCAGGTGCCATAGATCAGAGCAGGGAACCTGGTGCCAGTGAGTCATGTGTGCTTCCCCCCCCCCCAAGGCTATTTCTGTGCCCCTGTGTTGTTCCCCAAGCCAGGCTGCTGAAATACAGAGGCAAATCATGGTGTTGATATTTGATGACAAACTCCTAAAAACCATGAAAGCAAACAGAAAAGTCTTGCTTAATAAAGGTTTTCATAGTTTGCTTCTGAAATTCAGAGGCAAACCAGTTATAAAACTAATTTAAACAAAACTCCCCTCCTTGTTTTAATGGGTCTAATTCATTTTTTTCCAGAAATTCAGCAACAATTTTTTGCTGCCAAATTCTGGTGCATTCCATGACTGAGCAAGGATTTGAACCCTGGTGTCGCACATTCTTGACCTTACATCTGCTAAGCAGCACTGGCCATATACATCAAAATATGCCAGGGGAGGCATGGATCATTGCATTGAAATTCTCACCTGGTACCCACAGCTGACATGGCCTTCTGTCCAGTAGAGTGAACATACTGGTGGACGAGAGACTCAATGCTCCATTTTATCCTGCAGAGAAACCCAGCAGATAGGGAGAGGAAGAAATGCTCTTCCTCTGCACTAGAAGAAGAAATAGAAATGCTGCATGCCTGTGCATCAAGTTAGTCATTTTTAATTTTTGGAAGCTAGCAGTATCTGTGGGTTTGTTTACAAGGCTGAGTCGGGGTATTCATGCCAGTATGGTGACAGATTTTCTGTCATTAACTGGTGTTAAAACCACTTTCCTCTGTGACAAAAATGGTCTTATGAACTGCAGGTTCACTGCAGGGCAGATTCTTTGGCAGGCAATGGACTAGGGAATAATTATACATCAAATTAAAACCAGATTGCATATGAGAGAAGGAAATGCTTGAGAAATGTGGTTCTTTTGTAGTTCCTTGCCTCAAATATTGATTTACCTTGTCCTTGCTATGCACATTCTCCAATCCTGTCTTGGTCGCTGCTGTGCACTCCCACACCTCACACATTTTATTTTTTGTTAAAAAGCAAGAAATAAAAATAAAATAGGAAATAAAGAAGTAAAATGTAAAATACAGTTCCCCTTGTCTTCCAGTGTATAACTTCCAAAATACTGGCTGGTGATAATAAACTACAGATTCATGGTATTGGCCTTATGCCTCTTTCCTCCTGCTCATAAGTTAGCTGATTCTTGAGTTAGGGAGCTTCCATGGTGGAGGGTTGGAAGATAATTCCAGCTGGAAGAACAACTATAACAACAATAATACCCAGCCATTTGCACAGAATTGGTGGGAATATAAACCTGAAGAAGTTGTTGAAAATGGTGAAGTAAAAATCTTACAGGAATTTAAGATTCAAAGTGATAAAAAAAATTAGAGCATAATATGGAAAATGTAAAGAGGTTGAAAAAATGGAAGTTTGGGTTACAGATGTGGCAATCCCTGGGGAAAGCAGAATTGAAGAGAAAGAGAAGGAAAATGTTACAAAACATCAAGAACTACAGTTGAGCTTCAGCACTGCTGGGTTCTATCTTTCCAATGGTGATAGGTGCTCTGGGAGCAATAACAAGAGGCTAACAAAATATTTGAATGAAATCTCCATACATAGGATCACAATAGCAAAATTACAAAACGTGGCACTACTTGGAACATACTTTATTATCTAACAATACTGATTTCTAGATTCTTGAATAGAATCTAAATCACTGATGGCCCCAAACTCCAGTTACTAACACCTGATAGACAATGAAACCACAATGATGATGAGGATGATAGTGTTGACAGTAACCATGATATTGGTGGTGATGAAAATGAGGATGATGACCAGTATTCTAGATCAGCTATTTAGCTATGTGACTATCTACCTTAGTTATGTAGCTAAGAAGCCTCTCTCGGCCTGACCCCCCTCAATCCTGATTTACTGGGCAGCCACTGCATCGCTCAGGTGTGTTGGGATGCAGCTTCAGTCATGCCCATATGCTAGCTATAGATGATGGAAACTGCAATCCAACACATCTGGAGGCCAGTAGGTTGGACATTGCAATGTGGAAGCCTGTGCTGGATGAGAATGAAAGTGTCCACATTTCCAAAAAGAAGGCATGAATGAGCTAGTTGCTCTTAAAGATAATAATGATTTTCTATTCTACTATAATACAATCTATCAAAAGATATAAGTAATTGCAACTATCCTTAAAGATAAAGGAATTGTTACATTTGCTGGAATGTATGTTCTGAGAGCCAGTGTGGCATAGTGGTTTGAGTGTTGGACTATGACTCTAGAGACCACAGTTTGATTCCCAGCTCAGCCATGTAAACCCACTGGGTGACCTTGGGTAAGTCACATGCTCTCAGCCTCAAGGAAAGGCAATGACAAACCTCCTCTGAACAAATCTTGCCAAGAAAATCCCATGATAAGTTTGCCATAAGTCAGAAACAACTTGAAGGCACAGAACCACCACCACAACCACAGTGTTCTGAAATAAAATATAAAGCTCGTTGCAAGTCTATGAAATTTGTTTAAAAATAGAACCCTCTGTTCAATTCAAGTCATTTTAGCTTTTCCAGTCTCTCATCGAACTATAGACATATAAGGCATATAGTCTAGGAAGCATTACTGTAATTATAGCATGGGTGGGATCTGTTTGTTTTTATTTAACTGAGAATATGCACTATGCAGTGTTGTATGTTCCTGGTTCTACTGAATGGAATGCAGTCTTTAACACAGACTACCATAAAAATGCTAGACACATTTGAAATGGTGATTTATTGGAAAATGTTAAGAATTATATGAATTAAGAGGCTAACTAATGAAGAAATAAGAGAAAGAATGATAAACATAAAGAAAACAACAACTTAGAACACTGGAATGCTTATATTGACCAAATCAAAAATACAGATAATTATACAGTCAGCCCTCCATATCCACAGATTTTTTTATCCATGGATTCAAGCATCTACTGTTTGAAAATATTTTTTAAATGTACAAAATCCAAAAAGGAAACCTTCATTTTGTCATTTTATATAAGGGACGCCATTTTACTATGACATTGTATTTAATGAGTATCTACAGATTTTGATATTCGGAGTTGAGTGGGCCCTGGAACCAAGCCCCAGTGGATACCAAGGGCCCACTGTAGAGATAATGCAAGGCAAAATAAATGGGAGAAGATGAGTAGGAAGAACAACTTCTTGGTTGGAAAATCTTAGAGAAAGGTTTGGACAAAATGCAGTCTCTTTGTTCAGAACAGCCATAATGAAAAACAATTTTACCATGATGATATCCAGGCTATAATAGAAGGAGAATAATAAGAAAGCTTTTCCTAATTTAGTACATATGATGTTTATTATTATGCATGTCTTTCTTTGCTGTATTCCACAGAATGGGGAGACGGAACATCATGTGGTTTACAAGCACTGGCCAGTTTATATTTGGCATTGCCGTGGCATTCACATTTGACTATGTTAGCTTTGTGATTGTCCGTTTCCTCCTTGCAATGGTAAGTGCTCAGGTTTATCCTGTTTATCAAACAGTCTTCACTGTTTTAAAAATTTCTTTCTTATTAGCCTTTCAATAGTGCTTTCTAATTGCACTTCCTAACTAAGCCAAAGTACTTAAATTTAAATTTAATTGGTTTTACTGGAATTTCACTGACTCTAAAAATATTTTGATATAGGTGCTGCATATTAAGGCCACAAACCAAGAGTTTCCTTTGGGAGGTTGGGAATATTGCCTACCAATTTAAAATAATAAATGGACCTTAAATATATATAAGCACAATCCAGGACTACAGTTCTCTTTGTGGATGGTATCCTTTGTTTGTATCCAATATTCTTGATTCATTGGTTCTTGGATCACCACTTTCCTCTTTGCCGCAGATTGAAGGCTTTTGAAATTTTGAACTTCTGCAAGCCTTTAACAAATGACCAACCATTTTTTCCTAATTTGTTTAATTGCAGGAGACTAGATTGAAACCATTTTCTCTTTTCTTGTCTTTGTCAGGTTTCAAGTGGCTATCTGGTTGTAGTGTTTGTTTATGTGACTGAGTATATTGGCATAAAGGCTCGCACGTGGGCATCCATGCAAGTCCATGCATTTTTTGCAGTGGGAATTATGGTTGTGGCACTGGTAGGCTACTTGTCACCAACATGGTGGGTCTACCAGATTGGCCTCTCCATTACAACGCTCCCCTTTGTCTTGTGCTGCTGGATGCTCCCTGAGACACCCTTCTGGCTGCTCACAGAGGGAAGATTTGAAGAAGCACAAAAAGTAATTAACACAATGGCAAGATGGAACAAAGTAAGCAGTCCTTGTAAAATTTCTGAACTGTGTTCAGTCCAAGATGGTCTTGTCAGTAGCAGAACGGGTGATAATGACAATTCTCCCGTGAAGAAGCACAACATCTTAGATCTGTTCCGTAACTGGCACATTGCGAAAAGGACAATCACAATCTGGCTGGTTTGGTTCACTGGGAGTTTAGGATATTATGTATTCTCCCTCAGTTCCGTGAACCTTGGAGGCAGTGAATATTTAAATCTGTTCCTCATAGGTAAATATTGTTTGATGTAACTTACTGTACTTGCAACGAAAATACATCTGTATCTTTTCTTTTCAATGTCTAGTAATTCTCACAATCAGAAGTCATTTCCAAACACTTTCAATCTGATTGGTAGGATGAGGCACATGCCCTTACCTCTACTTGGACCATGGATTGCTGTTGATTTTCAAACTCATTCATACCATCATGCACTCTTGTAGTGTAGTATCCGTTTCACAGGCAGTGTTTCACACATGTGGTCTCCCAGATAACTCCATGTGGTTATGTTTCAAACAGGGCCATAGCCACAGGCATGGTGGATAGACAGTATTTGCTGTGAGGGGTTGGCCAGCTTAGAGGTACTCTAGGCATCTGCCCAAATGTTCACTTTTCATTAAGTCTCTGGCCCTTTTACTTGTGAGGTTATATGAAAAGTTTGTAGCTGGCATTCTTCCCAATTGCTCAGTAACAAGTAGTTCAGCGTCACCATCTGTTCAGAGCAGAACCACCATTTGAAAAGTTTCTTCAGATTTGTGGGGTGCAGATGTACCTTCAGGGTCTAGGAAAGTATCCAAATAGAACGGGAAGAAATCCTTGGTCATGTTCTGCTGTTGTTTTGTGCTGCTTGATGGATGCACAAAAGGCAAGTGATGGGTAGAGGTGGGTGCCCTTCCCTCACATATCTTGCAAAAGAATATTCATAGTTTGGAAATGTTACATTCTTGGACCACAGTTTCCAGAAATCCTCAACCAGCATGCTTTTCTCATGGGCTGGTATTATCAGCTGATATTTTAAGGCTTTGCTCAAGAAAATGAACTAGGATTATGTTGAAGTTAATATGTGATCAATGGTTGTGGTAGTGTGTCTTTCTATAATAGAAAGTGCAGTTTAGGGGTTTTAGAAGAGATGTGTAAAATCTGTTGGAATTGTGGGGCTAATCCATTGAAGATTTGGCCAAATAATAATAATAATAATAATAATCATCATCATCATCATCATCCTTGACTTCATAATACTTCAGTTTGATTGGGTTGTGTCCACAATTAAAATGTATTTACAATCATGGTGGTAGTCATAAATGCTCCAATTAACTGGCAATCCACAGATATCTCGCATCCCACACTAAAGAATATGACAGGGTGTCTGTAGCATATGAAAGTTTATATTGTCCATAGTACATTGGAGGAGGGAGAAAACATGAGAAAAGATGGTCAGTAATAGCTGTAAATAACTTTTCCTAAATAGTGTATATATTTTCACATTCACATTATGTTTGCTCTCATTGTACCTGTACTGTGAGTGGGTAGAATTGAGGCATGGAAGTTTGACTGTGATCACACTGAATTTATGACTGATCTGAGATTTGGACCAGGGAATTTTTTGACTGAAGCTGTTGGATGGCTCTCATTCATAGGGTTGCCATAAGTCAAAGTCAACTTGACAGCAAATAACAACAAACCATGCTTTGCCTGTTCCCTGTAAACAGAGCTATGCATACTGAGATGGAATCAACATTGTGTGGAAGCATTAGTGAACACATTTTAATGTGAATTCTCTAATGACAGGTGTGGTGGAGCTTCCTGCATATGTGATTGCTTGCATAGGAATGGAGAAACTGGGACGAAGGAATACATTGATTCCATTTCTTCTATCAAGTGCTGTGATCTGTGCTATAGTAATGCTGATACCTCAAGTGAGTGACTCATATCTGCATCCATCCAAGCACAGAATGGGCCTCCAAAAGCAACAGGGCATTTCTTAAAAGCAAAAGAATCTAGTCATGGCTTGTGTGATGCTGAATGCTTTTTTTGCAATCCAGTTCTGCAGCTTTACCAATCCATATTCAACTTGAATGAGTGCCATAGTGTAGGTGGCTTCTAGCTGCCCAGCATGCATTTACAAATGTAGTGGAAGTGAACTGTCTCCAGTATTTCTATATTTCACCCATAATATTTTTTTAAAAAAGGAATTTGTTGCATTGCTCATTAAGATACAACGAAAAATGAGTTAAAATTATCTCCCCCTCCTTTTAAAAAAGTAACTGCCTGCATTGGCCACTACATTCTTATCACATTACTCAGTTGTACAGGGTGGGTAGGTTTGTGTTGCATTCTATTTTTTCTATTAAAAAAGGGTCCCTCACTGCTCAAGAGTTGTGCAAGACTGCTTATTCAGCACTCCAGGAATGGTTGCTGTATGTAGTGGCTAAAGTCACTCCAGGAAATGGCTAAAATGGTCACTTCCTGTTTGGAAAAAAAGGTTCAGTAAAGCTTTTAAAAAAGAATCCCCTCCCAACACAGAAAATGAAGTACAATGGCTCATATTCCCCTTCCCAAAGTTTAGGGGAAGACGGTGGGACATTTGGAGGCAAATGTCTCTCAATGAAGGGGGTAGGTGGGTTAGGGGCCATAAAACATCTGGGGGGGCCAAATACGGCCCATGTGTAGTGCTTTATACACCCTTGCTATACACAGAGCTGGAATTATTTACTAAAGCAATGGTTCTCAAACAGTGGGGCAGGCCCCCCAGGGGTGCATGACTTGGAGAACGTGATCCCCCCTCCTCCTCCTCTTCTCAAAATTTTTTATGCATTGAATTAAATATTGAATTTCCTTAAATAAAACTGTTCTAAAGGATGATGTTATTTCCCTATAAAATGTTAAAATACGAATATACATGTGCAAATGAAAATACACACATTAAATAAATAAAATATTTTTATTCATATTATATTGTGTCGATTTATATGTAAATATAAAGGGGGGGGATCGCA